TGAAAATGTTTTCAATGTTTCAAGGATCAAGATATTTCTTTAGATATGATAAGAGTAGAGTCTATGACCCAACATGCTTTTCTCCCTGCTTATAACTGGAATAAAAATGAAACTACTGTCAAATCTACTGTCTGATTTGCAACCCAATAACACCAGAGAACTGAGATAGAGTTAATCGAGGGTATTAGATAGGCTGGAGAAAGTGCCCAAGTTTAGGAAACAATGCCTACGAACTAACATCGACCAGACAAAGAAGAGATTAGCAGTTAGACAGAAAAGCCAAGTTCAATGAGTTCAAATGAAGAGATGTTGTGTAGTTGTATCAATCCCAGAGAATTAATACAGCTCATGTGTGGCATAAGAACGCGAGAAGTCTCTGACGTATATACTGGAATATTCGTCTTAACTATAAATACAAGCGCTTCATATTGCAAATATAGATAGTTTCAAAAATTAGTTCCTAGATTAATTTAAGTTAGTTCAAAGATAGTTCTAAGAGAAATTCAAGACAAGTGACGATTAAACAAGTGAAATGAGTAGTACAATAATTATGAATGTATTGTTCTAGTATGAGTTATTAAAATGGTCAAGTGTACCAATTATTATTAAGAAATCACATAGATTACAATATTTATCTGACTAATATGAAAGAACAATATCAGTTGACGGCAGATAAAANATTTCAGTGGATGCTTTGTTGCAGTTCTCAATGAGTTGTTCATACTGAGGATGTGTTAGTATAAAATTTGTGTCATCTGTATATTCTATGATTCTATCAGGAGTACCACATGTTCTGTTAATATCACTGATAAAAATGATAAAAAACAGAGGCCCGAGTACCGATCCCTGGGTCCAGTTTATGACCAGTTTCGGGTTTTATCCCACTATCAAGTATAAAAACTAACTAATCAAGCATAAAAACATATTTTTATATTCGATAGTGGGATAAAACCTGAAACCTAACCTAACTGGTTTTTACACTTGATAATGGGATAAAACCCGAAACCGGTCATAAAAATGAAATAACTAATGAAAATTAGACAAGTGTTCTCATTCATTTCAATAAAATAAGTCCTGTTAAGGCTATTTATGTTTCAGTTGAAAAATCTCACCTCATTTGCAGAAGGAATGTCTCTCCAAGTAGTCAAAAATACTCTCTTGTCCAAAGTACCATCCTCGGTGAACAGAACCTGAATTGGTACTTGACAAGCATAATAAAACACATCAACACTGTTCTTGATGGCAACTTGCAAGGTAGTTAGCGGCTCCATTCTTTGAACTGGACCGGTGGTGCTCAAGGGAAGACTGTACTCCAAACTCTGACCAGGTTGCAAGGCAGGTACATTGAGTGGGGCACTTGGAGTTATACCGAAACTGTTTTTGTTGAACTGGATGGCAAACCCTGTCATCGCCTGTGGATTATTAAAACGAACATTTTAGACTAAATCACAAAGTCTGTACTGTAGATCTCAACAATTTCAGATGATATCAGATAGTTTTATCAGCATTGTAACAAGTATTAATAACTGACAAAAATGTCCGATATACAGATATCTTATCCTTTCAAATGATATTTGGAATATAGCTGAGCTCAGTTGAATTGTGAAATCAGGCCAAAAATTAAAAAATGATTGAATAAATAAAGTAGATCAATCATAATTAAACATAAACTTCTATGAAAGTCGCGTCTGATCATAATTATGGCACAAATTGATTTACCTGTTATTATAAATTTGACATAAAAACAGACTGTTTCGTTTGTTTTCCTTAAACAGTGAATCATTGTGCGTTTTGTATCAACACCATAATACAAATATTAACGAAAATGCAGATGTCCCAGGAACTCTTAATGGGACATTAATGGGCAAAATCATGTCGCTGGAATTACAAAGGCTGCTTCTCAAAAGCTTGGAACACTGTTCCGAACCAGAAAACTGTACACATCTCAGCAACTTTTTGATGTTTTATAAAGAGCAGATCAGTGCATCTTTGGAGTATTGTTCTCATGTATGGAGCTCAGTCCCTAAGCATACCCTGAAGCTGCTGGCTGGATTCCACCCAGAAAAGAGACATCCGCCTGATTAGAGACGCGAACATCACTTGCAACCTTGAAAATCTGATCAAAAAAAAGGTCCTGGGGATTTGTCTCTCTTCTATAGAAACTTTCACGGGAAGTATTCGAGTGACTTGGCACATTTGATTCCACCAAGTGCGGTACATATAGAAATACGCAACAGACTGTGGCTGCTCATCTTTTTGAGGTTCAACTCAGTACACTTCGAACTTCACTGTTTAAGAACTATTTCATTTGGAGAACTGCGTTTATAGGAAATTAACTTCCTGATAACGTTTTTCCAAATGTATTTATTATGTGTATACCATAATAGCTTTGTTAATATTTCCAACATGCTTATCCCATGAGAAGTACTACCGATTCCATTCCCAACATGGATAATGACAACTTTGACAGAATGAGCATTTTTATATAATTTGATACTGCTTTTGTCCAGAAAATAATGACAAAAATATCGAATCGATATCATTTACCGCTATCAGGATAGGAGACTTTAAAACTGCACATTTGGCGAAAGCTATTATGACGTCATGCATATGTGCGATTATTGGTATAGCATCTGAACAATTATGAAGTGAAGCATTCAATGTTTGAAGATTCAATGAAGATGTGTTCAGCCCAAAAAAAAATTATTCTGGCAGACACAGGTAATTTACCATAGTACTTATTCTTGGTTATGGAATATTTCAATAAGAATGAGACTGAGTTTTTTTCAATTAAATGATCAAGAGCGTTTCTGAAGTCTAGTTATTCAAATTCGAATGTTTTGCATTAATGGGAAATAAAAGTTAAGCGATATATTTTAGCGTATTGATATGTTCAGGTAATAAATGAGGATTTGTGCAGCCTGTTCAGTAATAAGTATTAATACATTTATTTTATTATTACTTCGAGATAAATGTGATGTATTTACATTAAAATGACCCACACAACAAAAACAAGTTCATTTAAAGAATTCCTTGATAGTACAGCTATTTGCAAGGCATTTTTAACATTTTGACATTAGTTTACAGGGATAAACAATTTGTTTGATGCACACAATGCTTTTTTTGGGATTTCCTCATCATCCATACTTCCACAACATAAGCAGGTGAATACAAACAACAAAAAATAATTGGATTTCTACACTGCTCAAACAGAAAAGTCTGAAACTAATAGCGATTTCTAGTTGGCTCGTCCATTTCGTATATCTGGTGATGTCACACCCACTTTCAATTTACTGGTTCTTTGGACTGTTTTCTGAAGCATCGTATTTACTCATAATTTTTTTTGCGAATATTCTTCTAATTCGGCGTTGAATTATGCCACAATACCAAATATCTGGGACTAATAGTTGATGAAAACCTATACTGGAATAATCATATAACCCATCAAATATATAGTGCATATTTCTTATCAATATTCAGCTATTTAATTCCTATACGCATTACATATGGACAGACATTATTGAAGAACATAAAAACACTTCAAAACAAAGTCATGAAAATGTTATTCAGGCTTGAATAGAGAACCTCAACTGATACTTTATACAGTGTAACCAGGATACTGCGCCTATTTGGGATATTCTAGAAATCGAACAAGGTAAATTTGCATACAAAATTGTACATGAACAAGTCAAATGTAATACCAACTTCACATTCGTTAATCAACTCCACGAATAAAATACTTGTATCCATAATTATGTCTTTTTAGAACCTGTACATACTAATATTGGCTTAAATAATCCCATAACATTATAACAGAAATAACAGATATCCCTAATATCAGTATCTCTAGGAATGAAATAAAGAGTTTTTATACTAACATACTCAACAAAGGAATTGCTTAAATCTTTTCATTTCTCTCTATCAATTACTATTAGATTTTAATTTTATTTACATTTGTATTATGAATTCTCAAGTGAATTTTGATATTATTATTTTTTTGTACTGTATAAAGTATTATTATATTGTTTTTAGCCAGTTTTTGAGACCAGCATGTCGGTGCTGCTTTGGATAACATTTTTTTTTGATAGTGCTGCCCTTTAAAATACTATTTAATATTTAAAATGTTTATTGTACCCATGATTGCATTATCCGAATAGTGCTTGAAAAAAAATCATCTATAAAATATTGGCACTTTGGATAATCAGGCAGTACGAAGCATGCTGACTACTGTTGAAACTTTGTAGGGGAAACATTGTATTGAGAAAGATGCTTGGATAACGCAAAACAGTGTTGATACAAAAATTCAATCCTGAAGTATGCAAGGTTGAATATAAATGTATCAAATGATAATCTGCCAAATATATATCCCCTTGATAGTGTTGTGTACAAAGTTGAACTGATGCCACTCATTACATCAAAAATATTAGCTGATATTTGAAGAGCAAAAATGCTATTGATTCATTATTCTCGAAAAAATCAATGATTGAGGAAATGTGCCCCAAAAAGCAATAGCTTGAACATTCACTTACAAAGGCTAAAAAACAAATATCATCATAATCCACTCACTATAACTGGGTTTCAATATAGAAATCTAATCACCGTGGAAAAATCTGTTAAGTCTGAGAACAATTACATATCACTTACCTGCATAGCTTTATTAGTCAAGGTCATATCCATAGAAATTTGATTGGTTCTCCTTGAGAATGTTCCAAAAATCTCAAGACCTTTTCCTTTATCTGCTGGCAACCAGCAGATCTTCGGCGGGGTGTACATGGTAGGGGCAGAGGTTAAACCAAATATGTCACCCAATAATCCCGTAGTTGATGGAGCAGCACCTGCACTGAGATCAGGTCCACCTAACTAAAAAATATATTGCCTCCTATATTTCATTGTAATTCAACTTTATCATTATTTTGAAAAGAAGAGACTTGAGAAAATATACTTATAAAAATAGTCTTTAGAGAAAAGTTAAGAATTTATTGTGCCTAATACTGGGACTCTTCAATAATTAAATTTCAAAAAAGTCTATTACCAAAACGTCCAATCCCCCACCAAGCAAATCTACATTGCTTGTTGGGACTGGAGCAGGTGCAGAAACTGGTGGAGCAGGCGCACCCAGATCCATAGAGAGTAAATCGCCAATCAGACTCTCCTGATTCGGAATGACTGTAGCTTCAGGTGCACTAGATACTTCTTCATTTGAACCTTGCCTTGCTGGAAGAGATTTTCTGACTCCTGAAATGAAATACATGATTATTAAAGTAGCATGATCCAATCTGATACTCCAAACAAAACGATTTGGCAGAAATGATTCAATTTGAAATGAAATACGGGGTCTGTTAATAAAAAAATAAGGTGAATTTTCATTTTTCTCAAAAAATGTTTATTTATTCATCAATATCTATTTTGCCTCCTACAAAGTAGCCCCCCTCAGATATAATACAATAATGCCCGCGTTTTTTTCCAATTTTCGAAGCAGTTCTCAATCGTCGCAAAACTCCGTCCTTCCATGGGTCTCTTCAATCTTGGAAACAGGAAAAAATCTCAAGGGACCAAATCTGGTGGATACGGTGACTAAAGCAAGATTACGGTGTTGTTTTTGGCCAAAAAATTACGAACTGAAAATGACGAAGTGATCCGGTGCATCATTGTAATAAAAAAGCCATGAATTGTTTTTTTGCAATACCGGACATTTTTTCGTGTTACTTCTCGCAAGCCGCGCATAAATTCAAGATAATACTCCTTATTGTCCGTACGACCATGAGGCAAGAACTTCTGATACTCTACGCCACTGTAATCTAAGAAAACTCTGAGCAAAAGCTTGACGTTTGATTGAACTTGGGGTGGTTTTTTGGTCTTGGATCTCCTGGGCTCTTCCATTGGAACGATTGAACTTTGGTTTCGATGTTATAATAATATACCCATCATTCGTCACCAGTTATGACCCTTCTAAGCAAATCTGGATCACCATAGACGATATTCAACAATTCCTAAGCGATGCTCATGCAACGGTTTTTTCAATAGAAATTCAACAATTGTGGAACGAATTTCGCTGCCAAACGCTTCATACCCAAAATTTCCGAAAACGGGGTCTGTTAATAAAAAAATAAGGTGAATTTTCATTTTTCTCAAAAAATGTTTATTTATTCATCAATATCTATTTTGCCTCCTACAAAGTAGTCCCCCTCAGATATAATATAATAATGCCCGCGTTTTTTTCCAATTTTCGAAGCAGTTCTCAATCGTCGCAAAACGCCGTCCTTCCATGGTTATTTTCAATCTTGGAAACAGGAAAAAATCTCAAGGGACCAAATCTGGTGGATACGGTGGCTAAAGCAAGATTACTGTGTTGTTTTTGTCCAAAAAATTACGAACTGTAAATGACGAAGTGATCCGGTGCATCATTGTAATAAAAAAGCCATGAATTGTTTTTTCGCAATACCGGACATTTTTTCGTGTTACTTCTCGCAAGCCGCGAATAACTTCAAGATAATACTCCTTATTGTCCGTACGACCATGTGGCAAGAACTTCTGATACTCTACGCCACTGTAATCTAAGAAAACTCTGAGCAAAAGCTTGACATTTGATTGAACTTGGGGTGGTTTTTTGGTTTTGGATCTCCTGGGCTCTTCCATTGGAACGATTGAACTTTGGTTTCGATGTTATAATAATATACCTATCATTCGTCACCAGTTATGACCCTTCTAAGCAAATCTGGATCACCATTGACGATATTCAACAATTCCTGAGCGATGCTCATGCAACGGTTTTTTCAACAGAAATTCAGCAATTGTGGAACGAATTTCGCTGCCAAACGCTTCATACCCAAAATTTCCGAAAACATTGCATGGCATGAGCCAACCAATATGCCGACATCTTCAGCAACTTCTCTAATAGTGATTCGACAACTCTCCATAACAATTTTCTTCACTTTCTCACCAGTCGTTGATGTGCTGGGGCACATTTTTCTGACTCAGAGTACAATCACCGTATGCCACTGTCAACATTTCAAGTGTTTTTGAGCATCTTATTCCATTTTTTTTACGAAATTTGATGCAAATTCTTTAATCTATTTTTTTCATAGCAGAAAATCGCCGTACATGCAAAATATTTGTAACTTCTGTACCTCTCACCAACAAACTAAACATGCTAAACAGATGAAACTATGAAAATATGTTTGAGACAAGTACACCAACATAATAAAAAATAAAAAATCGCTAATGGAATGTACCTATCCCGCGAAATTTGAATATTCCAATTTTTTTTAACAGTCTCCGTACTTACTATATTTAAATTTTCCACTATCAAATTCATATTATGTATAAAAAAAGCATAACACTCCAAACTCAAAAGGCATTCATGAGAAATGAATGAATGTCCTAGAAAGAACACTCTAGAAATTCCAAGAATTTTGTAGATTTCATGTAGTTTGGCAGGTGGTTGTTCATTTTACATCCATTGAAGATGAGAATCCTTTATGAAAGTTAATGTAGGATTTGGTAATATTATTCAATAGTAATATGCTGTGGAAGTTCAGTTTTTTTTCTGTGTATGTTTCTGTTTCTATTATGAACAATTCTGCAACTATTAGTTCAATGCAAGGCAACTTACGAACTAAAATGTTTTTGAAGAAGATATGTTTCCAGTTACATAAAGAAAAGTTTTGGATAGTTTGTAATTGAGATCTTGTTTTTTAGTTATCAGGTTCAAGGGTTGTTTTTAATTCAGAAAAATAGATAGTGTTCTGTTTACTTTTGAACCCAGAAACTCAACGTTTGGTGCCAGATCATGAGTAATAAAGACTAAAGCACCTGTAAAACAAAAAGACACAAACAGCTTGTGAGAAATTAGAAGACGAAAAAAACCAATAAAGAGAGGAACAAGAAGCCAAATGAAATAAGAATTAGATGAATAGAGCAAGATCAAGTAACACTAATCTAAGTCTGAGGTAATTTTCAAGAAGGTCAAAGTCAAACTAAAGGAAACTGAGAATCGAAAGTAGAAGGAATCCAGGAGAGGCTTGAGCCAATAAATATTCAACAAATACAGGTACCCCATGATAAAATCTCACCAATCAGCGAGACTAATTTTTCATTAGGATTTCAAGACCACTATCTCATGGGGCAGGTAATGCCGTTAGTTTCAGACAGCATTAAAACACAGACAGTTAGTCTCAGGAAGATAAAGCTACTTTTTTATTTTTATTCTCTACAGGTTAGCTTCAGATACCCTTCAAAACATTTCTGAGGACATACAAAGTAATTACTTGCGAATCGAAAAAGATTTCGAAATCTGAAATGATAGTGAAATCTGAAACAGGTATACCAAAACTCAATAAAAAAATCAAATATCGTGTCAACCACAATACTTTCAAATCCAGAAACAGTTGCACATTCGATTTGTTGATATCGATTTTCATAAATATTCTGCAAATGCATTTCGTTATTTTATGTATCTTATCACAAAACACTAACAATATCGACAATAATTCCACAAATATTTATATTACAAATAGAAATGGAGGATAGGGTAAATTTTCACCTGCACTTCTTCCTTCAACAAAAGCAGTGGGTGGTTTATGATACACGCTAGCCAATGATGATATGTGACAAATCAGTTCATCAAGTAATGTAGGTTCCAACAAATCAGTTTCTTCAGATATCAAAGGTTTGTCGGCTAGTACAACCTCTTTAGCGGCAGCTGGGTCGGTACTTAATAATCTATAAATAAAAACGTCAAATTATGTTCATTATTAAACATTACATATTTATATATGAAGGAATTACAAAATACCATACTTTTAACAACTTAAAAAACCAAATAGTCAATTATATGCAAGAGGTTTGGTGTTCAAATAATATCATTGAATACAGTTTTTGTTAGGAAATGGATCAAGTATTTTCATGGATGAACAATGTAGTTTATGTTAATGTTTCAGACTCTGTTAAATCTATCATCAGGACATAAAAATAATGTCTTAGGGAAACAGTATACATGCCAACAAATATTGCACTCTTATACTCTGATATCGTTCTATCATCCAAAATTTAAAAAATGAAAACGTCCAACTCTAATCAATAGTCTGTGAGTCTGTGGTTATGAGTTCCATGACACCAATAGGTGGTTCCACTTATGTCTCGCTTGCTTTTACACAGTTATAGTTATATTCTTTAATTTTCATGTTGTTGAATAATATTTTAGTGAAATTTCAAAATCAAGTGTATCAAATGCCTTATAATGAAAAAAAATTCATTAAATAAGAATGTTTAATATTTATTCGTACCTCCAATAGATGAAACCACGATCTCTCAAGTCGGGATTATCAGAATCTTGAGTAGCTAAGCTGAGAACATGTTGAACTAAACCTTGAGTATGCTGAGGACGTTTCAAAAAAAGTTTCACCACAGCTGTGAGCAGTTGCAGTTGCACCTGAGCATTCTCGTCAGCAAAACCTAAAAAGTAAGAATTATTTTTTGTTAATCAATTAATTTGTTTTCTACGTTTCTAAGTTATCAATAAAAGATCTTGAGAAAAGTTGCTGCACAAATGTTTGAATAAAAGAAAAATAAATAAAATAACTACAAATAGATATAATTTGAAATTGAGGAAATGTTGGTCGTCACAATTCTTTACCTTAATAACTCAGAAAAGCTACTTTTGAGGTTTTACCATATATTTAATTCATGTAGTTTCTTGATCAATCAAAGCAATCAATGATAAATATTTGAAATAACCCATTCGGTAACACTAGGCAAGTTGTTTATATATATATACGAACCCTGTATTCATTCCTTTGAGGGTGTAACTATATTGTCTAACAATACTCTACCTTCCAGAAAACTGTCCAGAAGTTCATCGGCATTGTCAATTCTTTCCGCATATTCTCCAATAATCCATACCATACTAGCTCTTGCTTCCGGTTCATCCAATGTGTCGAGATTTTCACACAGAGTACTGATGATACTCTCGTATTTGTTAGGATATTTTCTGGGAATAAAAACATGATTTCATTATTTCTATAATCACAGGCAAATAAATCACAGTAGTAAATAGATGACACCAGAGTTCAAAAACCATTGCATTCATCACTGTTTCGATTTTCCTTAGATCCCGGCCATGGTACATGGACAGTCATAACACTGGTCAGTGCTGCTTCAATCTTCCTTAGATACCGTCAGTGATACATGAACACTCATGAATGCAAAGTTGGAACTTATTCTGTTCCAAGAAAATTAATTCTTAATGAAGAGAGCTGATTCCCCCTACAAAATCTCCATCTATGAAACTGGCATAAAACTCAAATCACAAATATCAAAGAAGCAATAATATCAAAATTTCGTTTGCATTGAAAGACTCATTTATATTTGACTAGTTGTTGCCCGCGGCTTCGCCCGCGTAGAGTTTGGTTTGTCACATTAAATTTCGTGACAAACCATTTTAAACAAATATTCTTATATATATATTGGTGATAATATACTTATCGTTATATATTATGACCAAAATTACACAAAATTTCACATTTATAATATTAGTAGGTATAGATATTCGTGGTTTGATCTGTTTCTGTTTAAAATCTGTTTTAAACAGATCGTTATATATTATGACCAAAATTACACAAAATTTCACATTTATAATATTAGTAGGTATAGATATTCGTGGTTTGATGTTTATGTCAATCCCATAGATGGCGTTTTCTTAAGAGAAGTCATCATCACTTTCCACAAACTGAGGAAGATAGTAAAATACCATACATTACCTTGAATTCAAAATCAACTTACTATTACAAAGTAACTCCTGATTCAAATAACAGGATCAAAATTATCAGAATACATTCTAAAATTCTAAGAAAATATATCGACCTTCTTTGGGTATTTTCACCTTCCACAAAGTGAGGAAGATAGTAAAATACCATACATTACCTTGAATTCAAAATCAACTCCTGATTCAAATAACATGATCAAAATTGTCAGAAATCAGACGGTGAACATCGAATTGAACAAGACGAGAATGATTGTCAATGAACCGCACTCTAAGAGACACAAGCTCAAAGAAACAGCGTATATTATTATATCTGGAGAGGAGCGTATTAGGAACAGGGTATTCTTCATTATATAATGTCTCTAAGCACCTTTTTGATATTAATTTTTATTTCTTCACCTTTTTTGAACTCGATGTAAACTAAGGCAATTTCCTGTCAATTTCTTGTCATAACCCGAATAAAATCTTCCTCATCTTTCGTTATATTTCTGATCTGTCTTGTTTGCTTTCATTATTTTCCATCGTGGTTCTTTGGAATCCGGTCAGTTGCAAAGAAAAAGCTTCGACATCGGTCGCCGAACGAGATTCGTACTGTCTTTCACTGCAGCTTCCACTGCAAGACAACTTGTGATACAATACCATACAGCGCTGTTTCGACCCGTCAGATTTCATCAGAGGTGCTAGACTGAACCACTAAACTGTCCATAATGTTTTCGTAGAGTTGACATTAACGGCGAATAGTAATTCCTAGTTATTGTTTTGTCCTTTGCCAGAAAATCAAGTTGATTACTTCTTGACAATCCCAAAAAACTGAAGCAGACAATATTTTGTTTATCCGCGGAAACCATCTAGGATAACTTAATATTTATAAATCCTCGTCTGATCCCGTGATTTAAGTCTAACTTCTAATCATCATTATTTGCATGACTTCATAACTTTCCTCATATTTACATGATTTATTGAAATGTACAGAATAAGCCCTCTTTACAGAAATTGCTCTATGAAACAGTACCCAAATATAAGAAACATGGAGAAAATTTGAATTTCATGGGAAAATTTTCTTTTCTAATATCTCCAATAGTCTGTAGCAATCTTACTTTCAACTGAATTACTCTGAAATAAAAAAATCTACCAACACGTGTATATATATTCGAAATAAAATAAGTGTCGTTCAGGTCCCCACAAAAATCAAGCCTACGCCCATGTGTCTAGTGATAAAATGTATTTGGCCTTTCTGTCAAATTCTACGAAAGGAGTGACTACAATACCAAATTTCGTTAAATGCAAAATCCTCATAAAACTTCTCATCAACATCGACCAACCATTAAAATACGGTCAAGTTCCTTACATATATTGTTTTGAATTATTCATTCTCGTAACCCACATAAAAGGAAACTCAAATTAGAATAAATATTGAAAACCGAATGTTCGGCTGGATAGTCACTCCCTATTTCATAACCTTCAACCATGATATGATACGTAAACATTTGTAGTAACAAAATTGCGAAATTTGTTTAGTAATTACCCAGTTCATAATCACCTACAAACATTTAGATTTGTCAAAAAAAGTAAAGACCTCCGGAATATAAGCATTTTACTGAAAGATTAGAAAACTGAGTGAAAAAGGAAGTAATACTAGAAATTGAGTAAATTGTTCCTTGTGTGATTTACGCCCATACCAAAAATCCAGTTGAAAAAAATGTTGGACGAAAAATTATTACAAGAAAGATTGAATCAATTCAAACCAGAGCCACTAGTTACAGTTGATTTGAGTAAAAGCAAAGATGACATAGAATCATATACAATAAAGGAGGACGAAAACAACATTGATCTTGCAAAAACCAACTTTCTGGACATGCTGAATAGTGAGGAAATTAAAAAATCTTCGGAACACATCATACGAAAATATGGAGTGGGAACCTGTGGTCCGCGAGCATTCTATGGTGAGAATTTTACTTCATCTATTGAAAAGTAAATAAGGAGCTGTAGATGTTTTCACTAGTTTTCACTCTTAGATCAAACGTCTCAGTTTCAAATATGTCGGGTTTCGATTAGCAATAATATTCATTTAGAAAACTCAAGAAGCGTTATAAATCAAGAGAAATTTTTTAATCCGTATGGTTTATACACTATAGTGACATTGATTTGTTAGTCTTTAGTTTTGCATTGAATTTCTTTTTTTTTCTATAGGTACCACAGATATTCATCTCAAACTGGAAAAAAGAATTGCCGAGTTCCTCGAAATGGAAGAATCAATAGTTTATTCCTATGGGTTTGTTGCTATATCAAGTTCTGTAGCTGCCTACTGTAAAAGAAATGATGTCGTTTTTATTGATAGAGAAGCCAATTTTGCAATTCAACAGGGTCTGGTAGCAGCTAAAAGCACAATTGTTTACTTCGATCACAATGACCCAAATAGTTTCAGAACCGAGGTCCAAAAAGTTGTTGACTCCGAAACAAAACCAAAAAGAAAATTTGTAATTGTAGAGGGAGTATCTTGGAAAACTGGTAAATTATTACCCCTGGAGGAATTTCTGAAAGTTGCCGAAGATTTCAAAATAAGAATATTTTTGGATGAAACCTATTCATTTGGTATTTATGGTGATACTGGTAGAGGATTAACAGAACATTTCAATATTGACCCAACTCGATTGGATATGATAATGGCAACTCTAGAATCAGCAATAGGTTCCATTGGAGGCTTCTGTGCAGGTTCACAAATGACCATTGAACATCAGCGTCTGTCTGGATCTGGTTACATATTCTCAGCTTCTTTACCGACTTATTTAGTACAAGCCTGCATAGAATCTATTAATCTAATCCAAGACAAGCCCATAAAGCTCAGATCTCTGTCAAGAGAGGTACATCATTTCTTAACAGAAAATTGCAATTTCAAGGTTCAGAGTGACCCTGACTGCCCATTCAAAGTTTTCAAAGTAAATGATGAAAACGACAATATGGAGGCTGAAAAAAGTATTCATGCATATTGCAAAGAAAATGGGCTGCATTTTATCTTGAATGAAAATGGTTTATTGTTGAATTTGAATGTGGCCTTGCATGAAGATCGAAGCAGACTGGAAAAAGTTTTTGGAATATTGGAAAGAGCTTCGAAAATATAATGTTTCAGTTAATTATTGATTTAGGGTTGAATTTCATGGTTTACATATAAAGCAGAGCTCCAATGAAAAATTATTATAGCAATGAGTTATAGAAGAAGGTTACAGAAATAAAGAGTTATATGAAACGTTCTTGTTTTTCAGTTGATGAAAAAGTAGACTAATAAAAAATTTGGTAACTATCGATAATTCTTTCTCAAGCACAAAACATTTCTGTCTATTAGGATGAATGTTCAAAAAAGCAGCGGTCCTATAATATTGTTAATTATTGAAGGTTCAGACTTCCAGTTTCTAAAAAGATGTAACAGATTTGAAATTTACGAGACGAAAAATTAAATAAAAAATGAAATACTAATATTAAAAAACACTGAATACTTGGACCAACATATTCAGATGAGTTAGTTAAAAAAAACAAGAATATGAAAAAGTTGGAGTCGAAGCATTTTAATGTTTTTGAGTTACATAGTGTTTTTTTATCTTTTTTTTAATCACCTTCTTTCTATAACTAATGCATCCAAATATTTCGAATAAATCATGAGTTGTTCAATTACACTGGATACTTCGAACGATAAGAAAAAATCTCTGCCAATGTCAAAAAACGTCATTAGGAATAGGTGTGGATCATAAACAAATATATGTTTTTCATATATGAACCTGAAGAACGAGTCTTCTGGAATAATTTCTTCTTCGTAAGAACATTGAATTACAAACAAATGTTAAAGACCGAAGAGAATCAAGAATTTAGGTGAATTATAGTTAAAAATATCTATACTAAGGAGTTGAAAATGAATGTTTTCTCCTGAAACCTTGGAATACACTCCAATTCCATAGATTTTATACAAGTAATCTTATAGTTACTAAATGTACATAGAACTATCATAATAGTGGTTGAATTATTCATTTGGACATGGAATAAGTATATTGTACAAGTGATTTACGAATATACAAAGCAGCAGTGTCGGACTGGCTATATAGCTGGGGTGATGATTGCCAACCAGGTCCTAGCCTGAGTAGAACCAAGAACCTACTGCGTGGGCCCCCAACTCTACCTATCCCTGAATGATGACTTTTTACCAGGATTGTGAAAACCAACCTGGGCTCTTCAGTTCCAGTCCGACCCTTCGATGCTGTTCTACAGTAATTCATAAACATTCAATGTTTATGAATTAAAGTAACATTCAGGCACAAAAGGGAAAAAAAGCCCTTTATATAAACATTGAGTTACTTGAAAGAATTACTGAGTCAGAAAAATGTTTACAAGTAGTCGGTCAGTCGGTTGCCAAGCGGTTCAACGTGGGTGCTTTGTTCACTCACTCGAATTGACTGCCGTGTTGGTAGGTGGGTCAAGCCCCAGTCTGAACGATCGATTTTCACTTGCTATCGTCCAACCCGTGTTATGAATCACACGTTAGAAGGTAAGACCTTGTTAATCTTTAGCTCACACAAGTTTCGACTTCTGAGTGTTTTCGTTCGTAGGGGTGCGACAGCTGGTTAACGTAAAAACAGATTTTTTTTAAACAGTACAAGCTTCTCCCAAAAGGTCGAGAAGATGTGAATAACGACGTTCGCCCTGGACACCCCAGCACATCAACAATCGATGTTAATGTTAAGAAAGTGAAGAAAATTGTTATGGAGAATTGTCGAGTCACTGTCGGTTGCCTCTTACCATGCAATTTTTTCGGAAATTATGGACATGAAGCGTGTGGCAACGAAGTTCGTTCAAAAATTGTCGAATTTTGACCAAAAAACCGTCGCATGTACATCGCTCAGGAATTATTGAATGACGTCAACGGCGATCTAGATTTACTTAAATGGGTTATTACTGATGACGAATCATGGGTATATGGTTATGAAGTCCTATCATCCCAATGGAAGAGCCCAGAAGAATCAAGACCAAAAAAAGCACGCCAAGTTCGATCAAATGCCAAGGTTTTGCTCACTGTTTAATTCAATTACCATGGCATTGTGCATCAGGAGTTCTTGCCACATGGTTGTACGGTCAATAAAGAGTATTATCTTGAAGTTATGCGTGGCTTGCGAGGAGTAACACGAAAAAAATGCGAAAACAATTCATGGTCTTTGCATCACCATACTGCACCTGCTCATTCGTCAGTGCTTGTTCGTAATTTTTTGGCAAAAAACAATAGTGCCCCAGCCACCGTATTCACCAGATTTGGCCCCTTGCGACTTTATCCTGTTCCAGAGGTTGAAGAGACCCATGAGAAGACGGCGTTTTGCAACGAATGAGGATATACAAACCAAATCGCTGAGAGAGCTTAAGGACATACCAAAAAGTGCATATCAGAACTGCTTTGAAGATTGGAAAAAACGGTGGCACAAGTGTATTATATCTGACGGGGACTACTTTGAGGGGGCTAAAATAGAAATTGATGAATAAATAAAGAAAAATTGAGAAAAATTAAAATTCACTTAATTTTTAAACTGGAGTTCACTACTAGCCAACAAAATTTTAAAATATAGCAACCTATGAAAATTTCGTTTTCAATTCATTTTCGACAGTGTTATTGAGGTGGTTGCAAACATATTAGACGATATTCCCCTATTTGTGAGAAAAATGTTGAAACTATCAATATTCATAGTCATATGCTTTCAAAGAAAGATATATTAAAATTAAATATAAAAATGTACTTCAGGCAAATCTATCTGACATTTTCTCGTTTTTGGCATAACAATCAGAAATATGCATTATACAAAAGAAAAAGTAGGATGACTACAAAAGAGTAACCCGAAGCACTTAATTACGCTCATACATTTTGTTACTATAATCTAGAGATGAATATGTTTAAAGTGGATGTCTAATTGAACTCGACAAGCTAATCTATCAGAGAACTCACAATCTATCTCCATGAATATTCAATTGAGTAATCAAACTTCTCTAAGATGTAAAACAGTTGTTCTGCTACCAAAAGTGTAACTGACATTCAATGTTTTGAGCTGAATATCACTGACTGCTGCATTATAAAATCTAAACATTTCAGAACCTCAAAATGTCATCTTATGTTTTGCTGCAATTGGTACAGGGGTAAAAATGTTAGAAGATATTGAATAACAATCGATTGTGAAATTTTCACTGGACATTTTACAAAATCACGGTTTTGTAAACTGTTCAGTGAAAATAAAGTGTTGGTTAAATACATTATGGACTTTCATCAAGTAGTCGCCAATTTCATCACATATGTTCGAAGACTGTTATTTGATTTTAAAATGACATTATTGTTCCTCATTTTGTTCTTCCTGTGGATAATTCAGATAACCCAAGAGTACTACCAAAAAAATATAATAAAACATGGGGTTCGTTAGATAAAATCATTAAAAATAACGTGTTGAAATAGTTTTCATTTTTAACATGGGGAACATAATTGATATGGAAAATATGTTCAGAAAAAATTAAAAAAAAATTGTTCAATGAAACTTCAGGGCTTGTAGAACTTTTTAAAAGGATCTTTATGTCAGGTTTTAAATCTTGGTCAGATATAAGTAATTAATAATTCCAAATATTTTCATTTCGCCGAAATAGCACCGAAATTTGGCGTAATCATGTCCTTCAGTGCGAAAAAATGTTTATAAAAGATGACTAATTTTTTTAGGAGATATTACAAATGTTCGCAAATAATGAACAAAATTGAAGTCTTCGAGAGTTGAATTTTACGACCTTTAAGGGAAATTGGGTTGTTTATTTCTTCACCTCCAAAGTGACGCTATTTTGGGTTTTGCATTGAATAACCAACCGAAACTGGTCGTAACAAATAAATATCTTAGTAGAAATTAGATAACAGTTATTTTCTTTATCCTATATTACTATTTATTGTTTAAATGTTAATTTTGCTAAAATTACTAGGCCTGGTGCTCTAGAATCTGGAATTGCTGAAGATTTAGTTTCGAATAAATTAACAGAAAGGAAAGTACATCTTACCTGAAGATATCCTTGATAACCACTATAGCTTCTTGAACGACATAATTCACTTTGGTTTGTATCAAGTCAAGGAGTGTAGCAACACATCTTTCTGCGGAAGGTTCTACCTTAATGGCACATCTTCCAATGGCTCTCACGGCTTTTCTCACAAAGTCCACATCCACTTCAGTTGCGTATTCTTTCAGTTCGCTCAGAACTTGTGCAATGTTAACTTGAGAGGCTAGACGAATCATGATATCAAGCTTCTCTAGTTTGACATAGATAGGGTCATTATACTTGACAAAGAAAACCTGAAACAAATTTAAAGTGTTATATTTTAAGAATATATTTAAGAGGAATTTCTTGTCATTGACAATCATCAATCCCAATCATTTCAAGGAAATGTTTAAACTTTTCCAAAAATACACACATGAATTGATAAACAATTGTATAGGTGATCAACTGAAATTTTAGGCTAAAAAAGCCAAGTATTCAATCGCTTAGAACAACTTCTTTCTTATGATATCCTTGGCTGGAGAGGCAACAGTGATGTGCATTTTGAGAATCCAATTGTAATACATCAGATAATTAATAAAAAAAACTTTTGTGAAAATTTGTGATTAACAGAAAAACAGATTTTGAACAGATTTAAGTGTTTTNAGCAATAAGACAAGTGTTTTTTATTCCGAAACATCAAGCCCGTTACAGTATTCCATGTAAGTGAAATTTTATCTCTTTCATATACTATATTGTGTAGCAATCCTCTAAATGATATCTGAATCAATTCCACACGAATGTTTGGAGTGCAAACTCAATAGGAAGAAGTGTTTTTTGTATAATACAATGTTCATATGAAAGTAGTTGTTTTGAGAGGGTATTTTCTTTCAGTTTGTACCTGAAAATTATTAAATTGATGGATGTAGCCTTTACTACGTGGTAGGAGATCATAATGAAAAGAGAAATGAAAATTTCTATGTTTTTTACCACTTTTATTTGTAACTAACGTTATTGAAGTTTCGTCCTATACGGACATTCTCAAACTTATACAATAAACTAATAATGATTCATTACATTCGCCATTATATACCATACCTGTAGGTACTAATTGAAATAGAGGTACTTGACTTGATTGAGTACCTGAATTTACAGTTCGCAATGTGGATGTACCAATTTGAAAACCGGAGAGTAAATTAAATCGATTAGATCATTTAACAGGTTGCACCCGCAATGTTAATGCTTGTGGATTTCCAAGGATTCTAAATGATTGAGTTTACATCCTTTCCTTGCATAGTAAAGAATTTCCGTATCGTTTAGATTCAGAAACTTGTGGGTGCATGCCAAAGAATGGTTTGAAAACGTCGAATCATTTTTTTTCCTAGTCTAAGGGACCTTTCATGTTCAGCATACCGTTTTTGGAAATTTCGGCCGCATTGTCCCACATAAACACTATTACACTCCGGACACTTGAGCTTAAAAACTCCAAATTTTTCAAACTTGTCAAAAAAATCCATAACTAAGGTATGAAAAAAAACAATTATTGTGAGATGTTTAGTGAATATCTCACAATAGAGTGTTTTTGTAATACGTTCATCAATTTAGATGAAGAATTGAATTACCTATCAAACAAATCATCAATTTGAAAAATGAAAGTTGAAAACACTGAAGTCTTTCTTATCAAAAATTAGTAAAAACGATACATGTTTATGTAATTTTTGATATCTTGTTCCGTTCAAAAGGTAAAAGGGGAGGGACTATCTACGACTGCACTGTATATAAAAGACATTCAATTGCTACTCTGCCTGTGTATGTTGTTTGTATATGTGTATAAGTAAAATTCTTTTTATAAATTTCAAATGATGACAATACAAATAAGCACAAGTAAAAATTCAGGCCTAGGAAAAGTATCTCACCTTCATTTCATGTTTCAGAATATCCGGTTTTTTTTGCACAATCAAATTTATATTTCTCAATGCAACATACTGGACTTCAGGTTCAGAACTAAGTAGCGTAACCAGAGGTGGTGCAAGCTTCTTGCTCATAGTGGTGCAGAATTCAGTATCCCCTGCTAGAATCTCCATCATTTTGATCAGAACTTTGACAGCTGACAGTACAACTGCAGCATTTGCATGTGCCAAACGTGGTGTTATACGTTCGCAAATACTTTGGGCCTCACGGTCATCTCTTGGAGTATAGTTGGAAAGGGAATCCAAAATGAAAACTTGACCCCATTCAGTACATTCGTTGAGAGCTGTCAGCAGTTTGTTTATTGTGTTAAATATGCTTTATTTATTTCATTACTGACAGATGTTTATCTCACATATGTTTTGAGCTCAGAGTTAGTATTGAATAGAAAAAAAAACTATTCTTACCAACAAGAGGTTGACCAGTTGGGCTGCTTTCATTGATTTCAGACAGTGCTGCAACAGCATTAGCAACCACCATTGGATTAGAATCACTCAATAATTCTTTCAACTGTTCCAGAAATCCTTGATCTTCAACTAATCCTGAAACAATTAATTTAAAAAATAAAAAGATAGGCTCGAATAAGTAAACACCAAAGTAAATATTATTAATTCATTCAATCATCACATTAATTAGACTACATGTTGTTTCCAAAAGTTATTAATTGCTGTGACCTTGTTCTACGAAGAGTATAAGAATAAGCATCTGAAGACGGGTTAGTATCATCAGAAGTATATGAAAATGAAAAAATTAAAAACTGATTCTTTAATTTTGATGATTTAAAGTTATCAATACTATAATAACTAAAATAAAGTAGTTGCAGAGTAAAAACCAACTTGTTTGCGTTATTGCAAATATTAATTTGGTCAATCAACTGTTCTATCATGACTATTCAATTATTTGTTTGACGGTAGACCCAATACATAGTTAAGAGGGTATTCTTCATTATATAATGNATTTTTAATTTTTTACATATTTTTACAGTATAAATACATCCAATTTCAGTAAATATCTAACTAGGTGAATATCTAAAGGTGATTTGAGTTTTATGGTTTACAGACGTTTCCTCGGCGAATGTACTGTAACAGTTAATGAAATAAGATGTGATGGAATCAGCTGATACTTGATGAAAATCCATAACATATTCAAGAAACATGTTATTGTGAGAATTTCACTAAACCATTTTACGAAGAGGCAAGATGTGTTTTGCTATATAATAGCTTCTTCAGGCACGTCTTTACTCTGAAATAAGAAACGAAAATAAATAAATGCTGAAATTAAAAATACCTGAGGAAATATCATAAAGTTTAGCAACACAAACAGCTGCAGTTTTTCGTACGTAAGGATCTTCATCTTTCAGACACTTTCTTAAAGGTTCACATAAATATTCTGTGATCTTGTCCACTCTTATACATCCCATAGTTCTTACTGCCAGTGCTCTGATAAGTGGGTTAGGATCTTCGCAATCCTAAAAAACAATAATAGATACGTGACATTTTGATTTTCTGTTGAAACCATAGTGTCTTCATCAGAGGGAATTTCTATTATTACTTGTATTAGATCATTAATTACACAGACAAGTAACGAGAGGTAATTTTTTAAATGAATGCATCTGAAGAATATCTTGATGAGATGGCTCAATAGAGACAAACTCATTTATGAATCAATGGAAGACTTACTTTAACAAAAGTGTTAACAGCCATTATTGCCATATCTGGTTGGGACTTGGCATAGTTCATTAAATATAGATAAACTAACTTCTTCAACTCTAGATTATCGGTTTGCATACAATTTACTACATCAGGAAACAGAGCTGAGACATCTTTACCAACCGTCATAGAGGCTATCACCTAAAAATTAAGTGTTGATTTTGTCTTGAAAAATTCAGTACATCTTACCTTCTTAACAGCTTCCTTTTTCTTCTCTTTTTTGTCATTGTTTAATTCTGATTTCAATTCGAAGATTTCCCCCTTCTTTGTGGTTGTAAAATATTTAGAGTCGGTCATGTTAGAATTACTGTAAATTAAAACATTAGGGATTGTTTCAGAAAAAAAACCAGTAGTGTAAATGTATATAAAAAGCCTGTACCTACATTTATTCACAATTATAAATTAATGAACTGAAGGGAATGGAGAGTGTATATTTTTCAATAAAAACGCCTACCACTTTGAATTTGACAGAACTTTCAGAAAATTGACATTCTGAATTCAGATGACAGTTGTGTGTCTCCGAAAATTTGTCACGTCACCTAATTAATAACCACTACAGTAACGGCGAGCTATGAATAGTCACTAATTGTTTAGTTCATTTGTTAATATAATTTTGACAAAAGCATCATTTGTTTATTTCATAGACTAATAATTTGGACTTTATAGGTATTATTTGATTGATCATTACAATATCTGCTATCGCCCCTTACGAACAACAACACTCAGAAGGCGAAACTTATATAAGCTAAGGATTAACGAAGTGTTGTGACCCTTCGCCCAAATAAAGATATTTCAATTCTCTATACAATGACCTTTAATATTTTGAAATTAGATAACCGGTTGCGGAGTAATTGATGTAAGAATTGGAGACTAGTAAAAATGATAATTCCTAAATTTGCAACCAAACCAGGATCGAAAGATATCTGAAGTTAGTTATCACAAGTTAAACAAACTTTGTAATGGGTAATTGAACCAAAGTATTCGACAAAAAAAACGCATTTTTGTTTTCAATCCGATTCAGGAATATTTTATGATGTAGATGAAAATCCACACCGTGTTACCTAAGAATATTGGAACGATTCACCCTAGTAATAGAAGGTTTACCTGAAACAAATTTAAANACAAAAGCATCATTTGTTTATTTCATAGACTAATAATTTGGACTTTATAGATATGTTTTGATTGATCATTACAATATCTGCTATCGCCCCTTACGAACAACAACACTCAGAAGGCGAAACTTATATAAGCTAAGGATTAACGAAGTGTTGTGACCCTTCGCCCAAATAAAGATATTTCAATTCTCTATACAATGACCTGTAATATTTTGAAATTAGATAACCGGTTGCGGAGTAATTGATGTATGAATTGGAGACTAGTAAAAATGATAATTCCTAACTTTGCAACCAAACCAGGATCGAAAGATATCCAAAGTTAGTTATCACAAGTTAAACAAACTTTGTAATGGGTAATTGAACCAAAGTATTCGACAAAAAAAACGCATTTTTGTTTTCAATCCGATTCAGGAATATTTTATGATGTAGATGAAAATCCACACCGTGTTACCTAAGAATATTGGAACGATTCACCCTAGTAATAGAAGGTTTGTTCTGGTTCCCAAGTTTGTACTGTTCAAAATCTTACAAAATAGGTGAGTCAGTTGTGGACTGGAGAAATCCACAGGACAACATGCTCAGTATTCAGTGGGGTGACTTTTTTCTGACAGAACAGTCCGGGCAGAGAACCAAAACAGGTCTAGAGTATCGCATCACCTTGACAGCTGTCACTGTTGACACAGATTCCCTTTATTTCCTTTAAATATTCAAAAATGATTCGCGCCAGATCTGTAGAGAAAGAAAACAAAACCAATCCTTAGTTACTTCGAGATCTGCTGTAATTTATGAGGCAGAAAAGGTGTTCAATACAACATTTCCTGATAATCCGATCTACCTAAAATATATCATGAAATTTACTGAAAATTTTCAGACAAATGGAAGCTAGAGGAATTGGTTGAAATATATCTGACGATAAACGAATAGAAATTGTTGCATCTGTAGTAAATAACCCCCTGCCGTCCACGACAACAGTTACTCGTGTGATTGATGTCTGAACAACTACTATCAATGAAAACCTCAGAAGACATCAGTGACATCCCTATGAACTGAAGATATTACATGAATTAAAGGAAGATCAACGTTTCGCAGTATAAGTTTCAGAGCTTTTTCCTCCTCTAACAAATATGTGGCTACACTACGTAGCCGAAGATTGGCAGGAAAAAAAGTGGATTTGGAATCTGCCATTAGAAGGGCGGCATGGGAGTTAACCGATCTGATTTTTGATGACTTACATTCATCAAATTATTTTTGAGTGTATGTTTTAAAGAGGTGGGAAAACTTTTAGAGATCAGCGAAAAATGTGAGTTTGGTGTGGTACCGTGTCATGATTATCAAATCAAATTTATTTATCACGGAAGTCCATACTAGTAAAGAATTTCCGTATCGTTT